ACCTGTATCTTGGTGAGGTCAGCACAGATCAGGGACTATCCACTCCTCCACTATGTAATAATATCTAATATTTGTATAGAAACTTCAAATTGATTCACATCTATAAAGTATTTTAATCATAACAATTCTTGATATAGGTATTCTGCTTTATAAGATCACTATTTTATAGTGACTAAGATTTGTCAGGAAAGTCTCAATTTCAAAAATATTGTTCTATTACTTTCCTTAGCTGTCATAATACTTCCAGAGTTCTAATATTTTAGCATTTCATTTGAACTGTATTTCCCAGATAGCCCCTACCATCAGAGGGTACATCTCAAGTACTACTTATCCTAGTGTTTGGCTCCACAGTATCATCATATTGATACAATGCTTTCAGTGTGTTCACTCACCCATGCCATCTTCTGATGAAGATCCACTCACAGTCCTTGCTGTGGTTGGTGGTTATTTTTATATCCTTCTATCCCATAACATCTGATTGGACCAGAAATGGGTTTCTAATCCAAAGCAATTTGTAGAAGCTTATCCAGGCTTGAAATGATGGGCTGGGCCAGATTTTTTTTTTTTCCCCCTTTGGTCTCAGTAAATAGGAACCAAGAGGCAAGGAGGATTTTTCTGCATGAACCCTGGCCAGAGTTGTCTGTTTTAATCAAGTTCAAGATGACTAAGAAGAAGGAGCAATCTGGAAGATAGAAGAGAATCAAGAAAATATGGCGGGGAGTGAAGAGAGGGAGAGGTGTAAGGTGACAGAGGAGAGAAACAAAATCAGAGACAGAGAAGTATATTGATCTATAATGAGAGAGATAGAAATTGGTTCCCCATAGCTTTTAATCCTGCTCAAATTGGATTTCTACCTTCCAATTCACTTAAGATTCAATAAACATCTTTCTCCTTTAGCAAGTTTGCATGAGCCTCTGTTCCTTGCAAGAGGAGCCAGATGAAAACAGTCTCCATTATCCTTTTTCCTTTTTCCTCTTTTTTTGTAGTTCTATCCCGAGCTACATCCTCACCAGACTGCACCCCCTTTTTTAAAATTTAGAAACAGCAAGGTAGGGTTTTGCTGTTGCCCACAGGACTAAAATTTAAGATACCCCTGTCTTGGCCTCCCTAAGTTCTGGGTTTATAGGCATGGACTACCATACATGGCTCCAATCTTTTTTTTTTTTTTTTTTTGAGACAGGATTTTACTAAGTCACTATTAGACATTTAGATGTCCCCCCAAAGCCTCATGCAGTCATAGGTGGGGCTTTTCAGAGATGGCTGGATCTAGTGTGTGTGACTCTGGGATTCATTTATGGTGCAGTGCTAGGATTAAAGGCCCTAGGATTAAGGGTGTGAGTGCTATACACCTATAGGGACAAAAAGATGTAAAGGACAAACCGAGGCTTGTCTCTGGTCACTTTGCTTTGCTGTCTTCTGCCTTTCATGCACTGCTTCTCCTCTGTGATGCCCCTCTGCCATGCCACCCTGCCTTGCAGCCAGGAGACTATGAACTGAAACCTCTACCAACTATGAGCTAAATAAACCTTTCCTCCTTTAACTTTGGGTGTCAGGTTATTTTATCTTAGCAATGAGAAGAGTAACTAAAACAGTCACTAAGTTTCCCAGGCTGCATTTCTCTATTGACTAGTAAGGAAAGCATTTCACAAGTTCAGTGATCATTTTAATTTCTTTTTCAAATCACTTTTTTCAGGTAAGCTTTTAGGTGTATGAGATGTGTGTTTGTGTGTGTGTGTTCTGTTGTTGTTGCTTTTTTGGTAGTATTGGGGATTAAACCCAAGGCCCTTGCATTGAGCTACATTCCTAGCCCTTTTTAAACTTTTATTTTGAGACAGGGTCTTACTAAGTCATTAAGTTGCAAACTTGTGATCCTCCTGGGATTACAGGTGTGCAACACCACCCCTTAATCCAATATCCATTCTTAATTAGGCTTGGAAGGGAAGATTGGATTTTGACAAACAAAATGGCAACAGACAGATAAACTAAATGTCAATGTATTAGTTTTCAAAGAGAATTACAGTTTCTCAGAACTCTGGAGTATTCAGGTTGGATGCTCAGCACATTTTGTTTCCCTTTAAAAACAACTTCTGCTGGGGATATAGCTCAGTGGCCCCTTGCCTGCCTTGCAAGCACAAGATCCTGAGTTCGATTCCCTGTACAAGGAGAAAAAAACTTCTGTGGAAACACTTGCTATATCAAAACTGTTTCATGAGCACTGAATAAAAAATGGATAAAAAATGTCCTCTGAAAGACTCATGAGTTCAGAGGTGGAGCTTTTGGAAGGTGACTAGATCATAGGGGTGCTAATCTCATCAATGGATTCATCAATGAGTCTGTAGTTGAATGTGCTGTCTGGAAGTGGGCTTGGTAGGAGAAAGAAGATTACTAGGGGTATAATCTGAAAGATTATATTCTTGCCTTTGTACCTTCCCCTTTATTTGGCTCTTCCTTGTTCTGCTTCCTGGCTGCCACAAGTTGAGCAGTTTTCCTCCACCGTATGCTTCCACCATGATGTTCCTGCATTGAGCCAGCTGATTATGGAGTGAAACCTTGGAAATCATGAGTCAAAATAAATGTTTTTTTCCTTTAAGCTGTGAATGTCAGGAATTTTGTCCCAGCAACAAAAATCTCACTAACACAGCTTGGATCTAAGCAAATGGGAGGCCATATGTAGAGCTATTCTCAACAGGCTACAGTACTGGAATGCCGTGCCCCACTCATCTCCCTCATGAGAATATATCTTCTAGGGGACGCTCATATTCTTGGGGAAGGGACAAGCCACATGGAAGAGTTCTTTCTCCATGGGTTTCTTTCACTAAACTTGGTACACCCTGCCCTTCTGTTAAAGGTTTCTTAGAGAAGTTTTAAGAGCTTGTTTTTCATAATAAAGTAATAGCTTACACTTACTGAATATTTTGTATTAACTAGCACTATGCTAAGCTTTTTACGTATAGCATCTCAGTGAATCCTCATTTAACTCTATTAAGTAGGTATTGTTACTCTACTTTATGGATAAGATTCAGACAAGTTAAGAATTTTGTTCAAGGTAACTTGCCATCCTAAGAGAACAAGGAAAGATCTGCAAGGGTAGCAACCATATTGCAGGTCTGAGTAGTTATGCTGACCACCTTAATTTTGAAGATAGCCTACTCTCTTGATTTGAGGAGAAACATGATTAACCATGAGTTTTCCATATCTTCTTAGCAACATTTCTGCATGTTGATTATGTTAATCATCAGTATTTTAAATCAGTGATACTGATGATTTATTGAAATCAAGACTTGATGCTTTCATCTACCTTGCCATGTAAGCATCATTATTCCCCTTGGAATGAGAAAGCAAAGTTAAGAAGGTTAACTTAGTTTCGGAAGAAATAAGAAGTACAGAAAAGGATTCAGACCTAAGTCTGTTTGTTAAATCCAGTGCTTTCCTCCCACTGTACCACCTATCAATCAAATTTCCCATCTGAATTGACCTAAGGATTTCACACTCCAAGAGTTTTCCCCTGACTATTTTCATCGAAAAAGGAAATGTTCACAGACTTCTAATGTTGCACTAAGTGGAATCTTAAGTGGCTATTGTGTGCCAGCCTTAGTTTCCAAGGTGGTGAGTGTCATAAAGTTTGCCAGTGGCCACTCCTTCCATATGGCCTTAGATGGTTTTAGTTATCTGGGGAATTTCAAAGCCTCCTGTACACCAGACAAGTTACTGTTAAAATTATGAATACGGAGCAGTTCAGCTCGTAGTCTCGTGTCATTGTTTTCACAGATGCTTCTGCTCCCAGAGCGTGTTTGGGTGTTTCTTTGCCTTGTAATCAAAGACCTGGATAAGACCCTGTTTAAGGACTGTGCATGGTGGGAGTTGGAGAGCAGGCAACGCTGCCCAAAATGTTCAAGGGATCTTAGCAATTAGGGAGGCTGAAGCAGGAAATTGCAAGTCTGGGTCTCACCTGGGTAACTCAGTGAGAGACCATGTCTCAGAATAAAAAAAAAAAAAAAAAAAAAAAAAAAAAAAAGTGCCTGGGGATGTAACTCAGTGGTAGGGCATCTTTAGCTTCATTTCCCAGTATGGAGTGTGGGCCAGTCCAAGGGAGCTGGGCTTGGTGGATTTAGGAGGCCGTATAGCAAGACACTTAAAAGACAAAATAAAACAAATTTTTAAATGCTGGAAATAAAAATATGGAAAATAGCAAGTGTTTGCATGTTTGTAGAAAATCTGGAATTTTTATACATTGCTGGTGAATGTAAAATGATTAAGTACTATGGAAAACTTTTTGGTGGTTCCTCAAAAAGCTAAATGTATGACCATATTACCATTTAACCAAACAATTCCACTACTAGGTATGTACCCAAAAGAATTAGAAACAGGTATTTAGTCAAATATTATATGTACATGTTCATTCAGATTAGAACTCTTCACAATAGCCATAGGGTGGAAATAACCCCAAGTATCCATCAATGGATGAAGAGATAAGCATACTGTAGTAGGTACATACAGTGGTATCTTATTCAGCCACGAAAAGCAATGAGGTAATTTACCTGTCTTACAACATGGTTGAACCTTAAATACATCAGAAGTCAGACACAAAAGGAAGGCCATACATTATGTATTCTGTTTATATGAGATATCCAGAAAAGGTAAACATACAGAGACAGGAAATGGATTAGTGTTTGGCAGGAGGTGAGGGAAGGAAAGATAGGGAGGATGATTGTATAAAGTAGGGCAAAGATTTTCTTTTGGGGTAATGGAAACATTACAGAACTAGACAGAAGCTGCTTAACATTATTCAGATAATAAATGCCACTGAAGTGTTTATAAGTTCATTTTCCGTCTTGTGAATTTCAAATTGTTTAAAAAGAAAAAAAGTTCAACAGCCTGTTCTTGCCCTTCTCTAGTCTTAGAATCTCCCCCAGAGAATCTAAAGCGAAAGAAACACCCAGCCTCTATCCTTGCAGGAAGCGCGGAGGGCTTTGGCAGACCCGCCAGCGCCCGACTACCGTAGGAGCGGCCGAGCATTCACGTAAAAACGACTTAGTTACCACTGAGTCTGCCCACGGTGCCCGGGCCAGACCCGGGCCCCGGCAGAGCGCACAGCCTGGGAAGAGACGCATCCCGCCAATTTAAACAAAACAAAAGTCGGCGTTAAACTCGGCGCGGGGGATTGGCTGTTCCTAGCCACAAGGCGTCCCAAAAGAAAGGGGCCCTTGTCAGTCCGGAGGCTTGGCCTGAACCAACTCGTGTCCACGACCGACTGCCACATCCCTTGCGACAAATGCATTCTTTTGTTGTTGTTCAGGGAAATGAAACAGTTTGGGCCCTTCAGGAGCTCCTCGGCAAAGGTGGGAAAGGGAACCAGTGTAGTCCGCCGGTGCCGGCTCCCGGCTCTGTGCGGACCGGCGCGGAGAGACCGACCCTCTGCGCCCCGCCCCAGCCCCCCTGGGG